TAAAGTCCCCTATCTTGAATCCCTTTCTTCATCTTTCCTTCGGGGCCCCTGGAGAACTTGAGACTGCACGCACGTGTGTGTGTATGTGTGTGTGTGTGTGTGTGTCTGTCTGTCTAAGAGAGGAAGACAGAGTCTGCGTGGCCCCTGTAGCAGGGTTCTTACCTCAGTCACGATGGTGGACGGGAAGGTGCTGTTGTCATAGATCCAGCCATTGATGCAGGGCTCTGTGACCCCCGTGCCATTGGCCTCTGTGCCATTGGGAAAAGGCGGTCCCCACTTGGGGGAGGTGAAGCGGAGGCAGGACTCACGCCGTCCCTGCTGGTCCCGGGGCAGCCAGGCCTCCAGGCCCCTGTGCTCGCTGAGGTTGGTGTGGGCAGGTGGGCGGCAGTGGTGTGTGGGGACAGCGGCGGTGAAGTTCTGCAGGGTGTTGTGGGAGGCCATGAGGAGCAGGGGGAGGACCACCAGGGTGACCTGGATCTGTTGGAAGCGGCCAACGCCCCCCACCTGCTGCAGGAGGTCATTGAAGGCCATGGGGCCAGGCCTGGCTGAGCGGCTGAGGCCTGAGGCCTTCCAGTCCCGGGACCTCTGTCTGTCTGTCTGCCTGCTGTTCTTTGCTGGAGGAGTGGTGCTGCCGTTGCCTCTGCAGCTGGGTTGCTCCTAGAGCCGAGTCTGAGCTGGCTCTGTGGGGGGACAGCAGCCTACTTGGCTGCCCCTCCTTCTTCCCCTCTCTCCCTGTTCTGTCCCTCCCTTTCCCTTACAGCTTCTCCTCACTTCGGGGGTCGAGTGCAGCTTGGTTTTCAGGGTCTGCTGTCAGCCTCACCCTTGCTCGAGCAGTTTTTAATCCTTGGCCTGGAGGGAATGAGTTAAAGTATGACTTAGTATCAGAAGGATTAACCCTCCGAGTATTCCTTGTGTCAGTGGAATTTCTCCAACTGGGTATAAAGGGCAACTGGAATGAAGTGGGAGTGGGGAGAGGGAGGTACTGAGGGGGCCTGTCTGGGCATCTGGGAGCAGGAGGGGACAGGGTGAGACCTTTTTTCTCTTCTTTTTAGTGAAGAGACTGGACTCTGGGAAGTGTGGTGACCTCTTGAGGGGTTTCTGCCCTTTACAGTGGACAGGATCCAAACAGTCTGTCTCTGGGAAGGGTTAACAGAGAAAATACAGGGTGCTCAGGTAATCTCACCTTGGCCTCTCAAAGTGCTAGGATTACAGGCTTGAGCCACCGTATCCCGCCTTTTTTTTTTTTTTTTTTAAGTAAAGGCCCCTATCTTGAATCCCTTTCTTCATCTTTCCTTCGGGGCCCCTGGAGAACTTGAGACTGCACGCACGTGTGTGTGTATGTGTGTGTGTGTGTGTGTGTCTGTCTGTCTAAGAGAGGAAGACAGAGTCTGCGTGGCCCCTGTAGCAGGGTTCTTACCTCAGTCACGATGGTGGACGGGAAGGTGCTGTTGTCATAGATCCAGCCATTGATGCAGGGCTCTGTGACCCCCGTGCCATTGGCCTCTGTGCCATTGGGAAAAGGCGGTCCCCACTTGGGGGAGGTGAAGCGGAGGCAGGACTCACGCCGTCCCTGCTGGTCCCGGGGCAGCCAGGCCTCCAGGCCCCTGTGCTCGCTGAGGTTGGTGTGGGCAGGTGGGCGGCAGTGGTGTGTGGGGACAGCGGCGGTGAAGTTCTGCAGGGTGTTGTGGGAGGCCATGAGGAGCAGGGGGAGGACCACCAGGGTGACCTGGATCTGTTGGAAGCGGCCAACGCCCCCCACCTGCTGCAGGAGGTCATTGAAGGCCATGGGGCCAGGCCTGGCTGAGCGGCTGAGGCCTGAGGCCTTCCAGTCCCGGGACCTCTGTCTGTCTGTCTGCCTGCTGTTCTTTGCTGGAGGAGTGGTGCTGCCGTTGCCTCTGCAGCTGGGTTGCTCCTAGAGCCGAGTCTGAGCTGGCTCTGTGGGGGGACAGCAGCCTACTTGGCTGCCCCTCCTTCTTCCCCTCTCTCCCTGTTCTGTCCCTCCCTTTCCCTTACAGCTTCTCCTCACTTCGGGGGTCGAGTGCAGCTTGGTTTTCAGGGTCTGCTGTCAGCCTCACCCTTGCTCGAGCAGTTTTTAATCCTTGGCCTGGAGGGAATGAGTTAAAGTATGACTTAGTATCAGAAGGATTAACCCTCCGAGTATTCCTTGTGTCAGTGGAATTTCTCCAACTGGGTATAAAGGGCAACTGGAATGAAGTGGGAGTGGGGAGAGGGAGGTACTGAGGGGGCCTGTCTGGGCATCTGGGAGCAGGAGGGGACAGGGTGAGACCTTTTTTCTCTTCTTTTTAGTGAAGAGACTGGACTCTGGGAAGTGTGGTGACCTCTTGAGGGGTTTCTGCCCTTTACAGTGGACAGGATCCAAACAGTCTGTCTCTGGGAAAGGTTAACAGAGAAAATACAGGATGCTCAGTTAAATTTGATTTTCAGATTAATGTATAATTTTTAAAAGCATGAGTATGCCCCTAATATTGCATGGGGCATACTTATCCTACAAAATTATTGACTGAGCTGAAGTTCAAATTTGTCTGGACATCCTGTATTCTTGTTTGCTAAACTTGGCAACCCCAGTCTCACATCTTCTAGGACCACTGTTTTGTTCAATTCGAAAAAACAATAGAGGTCAGAGGCTGGTCCTCAAGGAGTGGGACCTAAGACCAGCATCATATATGATGTAGGTAGGTTCTTCTGGTGTCTTAGTCTCCACCTTCTTGTTTATTGTCAAATTTTCCCCTTAGTCATATTGTCTTCTGTCCATAGTGTATTTTTGAAACAATGAGCATGAACTTACTGTAATTTTTATCTTCAACTCTAAGACAATCACTTGTATTCCTCCGACAGATTTTGGCCCCTGGGTTCTGGTCACTCAAGGGGACAGTGCAGAGCACTGATTGGATGGGATCTGATTGACTGGATCTGGGACGAGGGACACTGAGATAGCATATTGCAGCTTCTTGCTATTAATTTTCACAGTGCATATTTTATAAAATATGGACTCTGCAGTTGGTCTACATGGACCCAGATCTTCATTTCACACTTACTGGCTGTGCAACCAGGGGCAAGTTACTCAAAATTTCTGTACCTCAGTGTCCTTGTTTACAAGATGGGGATAGTATTCTTGTCTAACCCATTGAGTTGTTGGAGGGTTAAATGAACTAATATAGGAAAGGAGCTTAAAGCAGCTTCTGTCTCGTAGCTCAAACTCTTCTTACTTGCTTCCGATAAAAAGTGGAGAATATCACATTGATTTTTAGAGAGAAAATATGCCTAAGCACATCTTACGGTAAGAACAGTGATTCTCCAATGCAGGCAATTTTATCTCCCAGGGGACATTTGGCAATGTCTGGAGGCATTTCTGATTGTCACGACTGGGAGAGTTGATGGTACTACTTACTGGCTTCTGGCGGGTGTAGGCTAGGAATGCTGCTGAGTATCCTACAATGCACAAGGCAACCCCTGCCCCACTAAGAGTTATCCTGACCCCAAATGTCAGCGGTGCTGAGGTTGAGAAACCCTACCCTAAAAGAGGTTTCAGAGTTATTTTATGTAGTGATCAAGCCCATACTTTGTTGGCCAAGGAAATTTCCGTCATACAAATGACTCCTACCAAAATATTTCTTTTCTTTTTTTTTGAAAAAGCAAGATTTATTGAGAGGACAGAACAGCTCCCAGAGCAGGAGGGGACCCAAAGGGGTTGCCCTACAAAAATATTTCTAAGAATTCTAATTATCTCATTTGAGTGGAGAAAATGTTTTGTAAGGTGAGGAAGAGAAATTCTCCCTTCCTTGTTTTGCTTAAGTAAAGAAAGATAGCCTTGGCCGGGTGTGTTGGTTCACGCCTATAACCCCCGCACTTTGGGAGGCCAAGGTGGGAGAATTGCTTGAGCCGAGGAGTTCAAGACCAGCCTGGGCAACACAGTGACACCTCATCTCTACAAAAAAGTTAAAAAAAATTAGCTGAGCATGGTGGCGTACCCCTATAGACCCAGCTACTTGGGTGGCTGAGGTAGGAGGATGACTTGAGCCCAGAAGTTCAGGCTGCAGTGAGCCATGATTGCACCACTGCACTTCATTTCCAGTCTGGGCTACAGAGTGAGACACAGTTAAAAAAAAAAAAGGAGGCTACCCTGGACTCCAAGGGACGGCAGCTCTTTCTCTGCCCAGGACTACCCACCACTTTTGCCACTGGGGTGGCTGAATCAGGACCCCAATCTTCTTGTGTCCATTTTAACACTCCTCTGTGTTGTGTTCTTCCTTGACTGTTGGGCTTGGCTGACCTTGCTGAACTTTTTCTTTTCCTTGATGATGTGTTTCCGTTTTGGGCCTCTAGCTGTCCCTCTGGTTCCCACTAACTCTCCCTCCACCCAGCTTTGTTATCATGTTGGCATATGTCTAAACATGATGGATGATGGGTTCCATAGTTCTATAGGAAGTACGCTAGGCCCTATACAAATTAGCTGATGCCAAGGGTCATGAGGAGAAGGGATGTTTCTCATTTCCTCTGGGTAGACATCGCCAAGTCTTACTGTTGAAGGGACGCAGCTTGATATCTGACTTCTCTTGTTAGAAGTTAAGATGTCTTGTCTGTACTTTTGTGTATTAAGTTGGGAGGATATTTGTTGGCCCCCGAGGCCCTGGGATCCATGAGGTCTTAATCAAAGCTGGGTTCTTAACTGCTGCCCTTGAGGTGTAGATTGCCTAGTTCAAAGGGTTTTGGAGGTTATCCCTTCTTATACGTGGATATGAAAAGAAAAGGAGAGTCCTAGAAAGGGCTGTGACTCAGCCCAGCCTGCCCCTGTACCATCGAGGGCTGGTTCTGGGCTGGGGCCCAGTGGGTGTCCAGATGCCTGACAACATTCTCCAGGCCAAGGTACATAAGAGCCTTGTGGCCTGGGGATGTGAGGACAGCTGGACAAACAGCTTGGGGGCTGCGGGGCCAGTCTCCTGCCAGGGCTTGGTGCCCTCATGGGGGAATAGGTGGAGTGCTGAGGGCAGCAGGGGGATGGTGAGCCCCTACACATGCCCTCCCTCTCCAAGACTGTGCCCAACCCCACCTTGAAGAGCTTCTTCCCCCAAAAAATCTTACTGGGACTCTGGGACCTGAATTGGCTCCTGGGATCATCTGCATGGCAAAAGGACTCCCCAGTAGCCTCCCAACTCATAGAGAGTTTCTGGATGGAAATGCTCCCGTGGCAAATGATTTGCAGAGCTGGGAACTATCCCTTAGGGACCTTCCGGGTCACAAAAAACTCAGAATTGGACTTTCTTGTGCTGACTGGAATGCAGACTTAAATTTTGTTGATGCTCACTGAGAAGGAGTCAAATCTGGGATTTTCTGATTGACCCAGAGCCACAGAACCACATGCCATCTGGATGGAATGCCATCACTCAGATGAAAATGTCTCAAGACTGAGACCCAGAGCAGGCAAGGGATTTGTCCATGCTCACACAGGAAGCAAGTCTGGAACTTAACTTTCTTTGTGCGCTAGCAGGCCATCGCATAGGCCAGATTTTCTGAGACAAATCCTAATTTTGTATGACTTTATTCTGTTAAATAAATGGGATTTAAAGTGTGGGACTACCTATGATTTTAATGATGATTTAGTGAGACTTTCTTTTTTTGAGTCAAGGTCTCACTCTGTCACCCAGACTGGAGTGCAGCGGCATGATCACTGGGGTGTAGTGACACAATCATGGCTTACTGCAGCCGTGACCTCCTGGGCTCAGGTGATTCTTCTGCTTCAGCCTCCTGAGTACCTGGGACTACAGGCATGTGCCACCAAGTCTGGCTAATTTTTTTTTTCTTGTAGAGACGAATCTCACTATGTTGCTTAGGCTAGTCTCAAACTCCTTGGCTCAAACAATCCTCTTGCCTTGGCCTCCCAAAGTGCTGGGATTACAGGTGTGAGCCACTACACCCGGGCAATTCTGTGAGACTTTTTAAATAAATAATTTAAAGATCAAATAGAATACCCTTGCTCAGATCACATGCCCTGTGCGGGTTTGAAATGATTGACCCAGGGAGGCATCTGGCAGACTCCAAGTGCCTGCCAGGCCCAGGGCAACATTCTGAACAAGGAATTCTGTGCCAAATGGTGAGCTTTGTGCCTTGTGGCTTGGCTATCATGACCGATGGATGGTGCAGAAATTAGAAATTTATCCAAAGGCTTCCATTTAAAGGCTGGACATGAGGCTAGTAACCAGTGAGGTAACCTAGCACAAGGACTCTGCCCCAGAGGGATACTCCGTATTGGATGCTGACTCATGGATCCAGTTGGTGTCTCTGATCAGAGATGGAGATGAGGGAGTAGGAGGAGCTGGGTTTATAGAGAACAAGCGGCAATGGAAAGAAGGAAGAATCCAGAATGTGAATTTGAGGATTGCAAGAGGAACAGGTCATGTGAAGGCCCAGTTCATTCTGATCAGAATCCCTGTTCACCATGAGTCCTGACCATGTGGCTGGGAAGTGCTTTCCTGGGGGTCTTCCCTTCCCTTCCTATGTGTCCTTGCAATAAACACCCTGAAGCAGCACAAAAATGGTCAGGGCCAGGACATCCTTGGCAGTCATGCTGAATTTTGGACAACTGAATGATTGGGGGACAATGAGGTATGTGTTCCTCATTGAGCTCAGTTCTTCTCTCTCTGGGTTGAGGTCCAGTCGAGCCAAGGGGAGGCATTCCTGGCCTATTGTCAGCTGATCCTAGGCTTCAAGGTATGAACTCCATAGGTAGAAACCAGGTTCCAAGGGAGAAACCAGAAGCCAGGTGGGGCCTGGTAACTCCCAGAGTAAAGGCCAGATCTCAGCGGGCAGTGTGGCATAGGGCTGGTCCTAGGTGCCAGGCCCAGATGATCTGCAGGTTGGCAAGGGGGAGCCTTGCATCCAAATGATCATGATGGCAGAAGGTCTCACGTGGGGGACCCTTCTGCCCTTCTCATTCTTTCTCATCTTTTTTTTTGAGTTGGAGTCTTACTCTGTCGCCTAGGCTGGAGTGCATTGGCATACTCACAGTCACTGCAGCCTCAACCTGCTGGGCTCAGGTGATTCTTCTGCCTCAGCCTTTCAAGTAGCTGGAACTACAGGTGTGTGCCACCACATGCAG